AACATATGTACAGTAATGACCAACAATGGACAGACGAGGAGATAATTGTTGGTTGGTTGGTATGTTTAACGAAGCATTCAGCAATATTCCAGCTGTATGGCGACGGTCTGAAAATAAATAAGTCTTGACCAGACAATCCACTCGTCAACAGCATGACCCTCAATCTACGCAGTTGGGATACGATGACATGTCACCAAGTCAGTGAGCCTGACCACCCGATCCCGGTAGTCGCCTCTTACAACAAGCAAGGTTTACTGAAGACCAATTCTAACCCGGATCTTCACGGGTTAAGAGATATTAGACGTGGATCTGATTACAGCCACGGCCCAAAGGTTGTAATATGAAACTCTATGGTAAACAAAGGCCTAACTGGTGGCTGTTAAGCATGAATTACACCATGTGAAATAGTCAAGATTAGCCTAAACGATATGTAAATAAAAGCCACAAAACCCTTTCCACACCTATGAGAATTGTCTACTGAAAGCATTATCGATTGTAGTCAACACACAAACACTCTAGAAAGTGAACTAGACCAGAATCTATTTGAAGAGTTCTCTTCCAAACGATAGACCATATCGTAACATGCGTTTGTAAATGGCAGGAGCACGTGATGCTCCACAGATGTAAACTGTCACAAAGAGTGAGTGAGTGAGTTTAGTTTTACGCCACACTCAGCAATATTCTAGCTATATGGCGGCGGTCTGTACATAATCGAGTCTGGACCAGACAATTCAGTCATCAACAGCACGAGCATCGATCTGCGCAATGGTGAACCGATGGCATGCAAAAGCAAGGCAGTTGTTCACCTGAAAAACCTCTGGAATATAAACTCTGTCAAAAAAGAAACGCAACCCCTGTCCTCAGATATGAAAAATTCGTTTGAATGAAGTGATTGCTTCCAAACTAAATGTTATTCGAATGTATTGAAATTATACACGTAATTAATGAAGATTACCATCCAAACAACTGCATTTGTACGCATAAGTGTATTTTATTGCTTATTCCGTCACAACGCATGAAATGACCCTCATGGTGACTTCGCACAAAAAACACATGCAAATCATGAAAATGGCAGTTAATGTAGGGGTGTATAAAAGCCCATGTGCTTTCGTATTATATTCATTCATTTGTCGCATGAAAAGCTGTGTGAAAAATGCCACGATTGAGTGCTGCCGACCGAAATATCGCCATTGGTCGTGTTCAAGCCGGAGAAAGTTTTGGAACTGTTGCACGGCACCTAAATGTTCACAAAACAACGATATCCCGACTTTGGAGCCGCTACAACAACTTCAATTTGACCAACGATCGCCCGAGAAGTGGAAGGCCAAGAATCACGACCCCTTCAAGATCGGTACATCCGGGTCCATCACCTGCGTAATCGGCATGCCCTACCAACCGTGACTGCCACACAAATACCAGGTTTGAGGAGAGTGTCAGCTCAAACGATTAGGAACCGTCTGAAAGAAGCGGGTTTACGTGCCTGTAGACCAGTTGTTGGACCTGTACTACGCCCCCTACATCTCCGCCGACGACTCAGGTGGTGCAACAACGTAAGGATATGGACTTTACAAAACTGGAGGCGCATCTGGTTTTCTGATGAATCCCGTTTTTCTTTGCAACATCACGACGGAAGAAAACGTGTGTATAGGAGACGTCATGAACGTTTTGCGCCCATCTGCGTCCGACAGGGGACAGATTTGGCGGAGAAAGCGTTATGGTTTGGGGATCCATCTCATACAACCAGAAATCAGACTTGGTGATCGTTGAAGGGAACCTGACAGCCCAACGTTACATCAACCACGTATTACAGCCTCACCTTCTCCCGATTATTGACCAACAGACACAGATTTTTCAACCAGACAACGCCCGGCCTCATACTGCACGTGCAACAATGAACTTTCTGCAGAATTCCAACGTCAATGTCTTGCCATAGCCCTCTAAATCACCAGACCTCAACCCTATTGAACACCTGTGGATACTCTGGGTCGACGCGTACGTCAACGTCAGCCGCCGCCACAGACGCTGCAACAGCTCGGCGTTGCACTGCAGGAGGAGTGGAGAGCCATTCCCCCAGGAAAGAATCCGGCGTCTTATCCGTTCTTGTCCAAGGAGATGCCGTGCAGTGATTGCAGCTCGTGGTGCTCATACGAGATACTGAGAAAGACGCCCCCCTGGTGACAAACTGGTGTCTGTGAGATGACTTTTGAAATGACAATTTTAAACATGCCCATCTTGGTTATTATTCTGCCAAATTTCAGACTTCTGTCTTAAATAATAAAAATGCTGTGTCGTCTTAAAACTTCAGATCAAAATCTCTAAAATACAGGGGTTGCGTTTCTTTTTTGACAGAGTTTATGAACAAGCCGTTTACTTGGCACATTTTCATAAACATGGCTGGGTATTATTGGGTTTTTTCATAAAAGTAAGTGATATATTTTTTACGCCCCCTCTTTGGCAATATCCAAACTATATCACAACGGGGATACAGAAATGGGTTTCGCATTTTGTACCTATGTGGGGAGTCGAACCCCAGTATTCGTTGAGACAAGCGAACGCGTTAACATCTAGGCTACCTACAGTGGCTACTCATTAACCAACCACTTGTTTTGAAAGGTAGGAACCCGTGAACATCCGTGTTAGAATTGATCTTGAGTAACCCGTGTTTTTCGGAAGAGGTGACTAACGGAATCGGGTGGTCAGGCTCGCTGACTTGGTTGACACATGTCATCGGTTCCCAATTGCGTAGATCGAGGTTCATACTGTTGATCACTGGATTGTCTGGTCGAGACTCCATTATTTACAGACAGCCGCCATATAGCTTAAATATTGCCGAGTGCATTGTAGAATTAAGCTCACTCACTCACTTGAAACGTAGGAATAATGATTAAGACACGTTTCGACAGTGAGCTGATTCTACGGGCTAGTCGCTTCTGTTGTCTTTAGTCCTATTTGACAAGGGGTGAGTGAGTGTGCACCGCTTTTAGCAATATTCCAGCAACATCACTGCAGGGGACACCAGAACTGAGCTTCACACATTGTACCAATGTGGGGAATCGACCCGGGTCTTCGGCGTTAACGCTTTGACTACAAGACTACCCTCCCATATTTGACAGGTAATACACAAACTATATAGCGAATGAGTGTATCACCGTTGTACACAAACCGCCTCCGTGGTGTAGTGGTTAGAGCGTCCGCCCCGGAGAGCGGGAGGTCGCGGGTTCGATCCCCGACCGCGTCATACCAAAAGACGTTAAAATATGGTACTTGTTGGTCCGTGCCTGGTGTTCGGCATTAATGGGTACAACAGGGACTGGTTGGCTCGGAGTCAGTATAATGTGTCTGAGTGGGGTATTCATGCTTCACTGCAGCATGGTATCTCAGTGGGCTAGCACTATAAAACCGGCTTAAGTCTGGGCTAGTACAAGCAGCCGCACATACACACACACACACGCATGCACGTCGTCATATGAGCGAAATATTCTCAAGTACGACGTTAAACCCAATTTCACATCACCTCACCCGTTGTAGACAATATTCCAGTTATACCATGACATGTAAGCTTGACCTTGGAGGAGAGTCTAAAACCATGCAGGTCTCAGACGTTTCTCACACTGCTGAAACCCAAGAGCCATTGTCTTGTGCTGTAAATCTAAAAGCCATACTAATGATTATTCGAACTAATCCACGATCACGGGTTTCGCGTGAGCCAAAGGGACGCAATTCTGCATAGTCAATTGTGGTGCCAGAAAAGATAGAGCCAGCCGTGCCCCCATCCACATTTGAATAAAATCAGCAGATTGAGTACATTGAGTTTATTTCCAAATTGCATATTTACAAATAAAAATAGTGAAAGATTAAGAAAATAATATCAAACAATGTCAAAGTTCACCTGGATTTGAACGACACAGCAACTACGATTTTAAGGCCCTTTCGGCAGTATTCCAGCAACTTTACATATTCACAAACAATCACATTTTAAATTTAGGAAGAAATTGTAACCATCATGTTTACAAGCCTATTAAGATGCCTGGTCTACCTAACATGAACAAACTGTTCCAAGGTGGTAACCAGACTTGGTAAGGTTCCTTCTGGGTTCAATAACCGATAATAATCAATGATGACCTGTGACAGAGCCGGAAATATAAAGCACAAAATGCCACCTTTGCTGTTATATATGGCCGTAAGGTGAAGTAAATCGATCATAGAATACGCTCTCTGTGACCTTAAAATGGATAATGGAACGAATGAAATCGAAATATTGAAACTTAAATTAAATACAAATTAAAACAACAACACATCTAGCTCTGAATTTACAAACTATAATGAACGGCACAAACTTCACAATAGTCTACATGGCAAAGGCCAGTGAAATTTGAGTGGTAGCAAGAAAACGTAAGTTAAGAAGTGATGTTATAACAGGAACTATTGCAACAATAAATCTGACTAATCCACTTCGGAGTGAGAGTGGAATTACGCCGCTTTTCCACCAATATTACTGCGGGGACACCAGAAACTGGCTTCACATATTATACTCAGTAGACGTAGTGGGGTCACAATATGGCTGAAATATTGGCGATGTGACGTTAAATAATAACTCACTCACTAGAAGTAGTGGGAGTGTCAACGCTTTAACCACTTCGATCCAGAACTATTTGTTGTTTATCGCCGCACTCAGCAATATCCAACTATATGGAGGCGGTCTGTCAATCACAGAGTCTGGATCAGACAGTCCGTGACCAACAACATGAACATCGATCTGATACGATGGCATGTGTCAACCATCCAGCAAGCCTGACCACCCGGTCCGGTTAGTCACCTCTTACAACAAGCATGACCAATACTAGCCGGGTATTCACGGGTCCGATTCAGAACTGAATAAGTGGAGAATATGTTTATTGGAAATTCACACTGGAAAATGTCATGTCCATGGACTGTTTATACACAAAACTGGAGGATCCTGACAAACAGACCATATATCACTCATCCCAAAGAATCATTTTTTACACATGCGTTAACAGCTGCTCCCAAAAAGCATCTCTTTCATCATTCATCTCTGACCATTTGATAGTTAGACAGGCCTGCATCATTCTGTTGACAGAATGAGACATGTATCTGTTCTCAATGTCTTCAAGAAGAACCAATACCAGAATCTCCTTGTGACGCTCCAGACGCTTACGGACTAAGGACATCTCGAACTGCGAAGCTCGGTCCTTGAAGAAGCTGTTGGATAAAACTGCAATGACTTTTCTACAGCGTCTCAGGTTTGTCACTACATTATCAACCACATATTTCTTGGGGTTAAAGTCTCTTTGGCGGAAGCATACTTTTTGTTTTCCTTCATTTTCTAACTTGTCCAGTGCTTCGTATCTCACCCACAAATAATCTTCATCGCTGTACAGAATGTAGACATCGTTTCTCAGAAGAGGAATAGATTCTGAAGCTGAAGATTTGTACGTCAAGCAGCAGTACCTAATGTTCCATCTGAATCTGTAGCCCAAGCCAAAGAAACAGAGGCAAATAAGCACAGTCCCAACGATGCAGTACACGATGGAAAACCTTTTGCGAGTTTCAGAACAGTCTGAACCGTTAATAGACGTTATATCCACAAGATTCTTGCCTTGAAAAGGAACGTTTGAACATGTATATTTAGAAAGGTGATTTGAAAATTTCGTTGTCTCCGATAACAGCCAGTACTTGAGCCAAAACAAATCACAGTTACAAACAAAAGGATTGTTTTCAAGATGTACATGATGTAATTCTTTTCTCACCGAATTGGAAAAAGCTAATCTACTTAGAGTCTTAATGGAATTGTTGGCAAGGGACAATTTCCGAAGGTGGTGATTGCTGTCAAAAAAATTGTTCTGGATGTCTTGTATTGAGTTCTCACTTAGATGCAGTTCTTTAAGTCTGCCCATTTCTGAAAAGACACTTGGTATTTGTCTTAACCCGCAACGTGTGCAGTGGAATGACTCTATTGTGTTCATTGCTCTCCCGAGAAGGTATCTAAAGAAATATTTATCACCTCTGCTAAAGTCATTGCCAGAGAGATGAATTATCCTGATCCTGGTGCAGTTAAAAAATACGGATGTATTGAAATAGTATATGTTTGAATGAGACAGATCTAGATTTGAGAGGTTTGGGTTGAATACCTGTCCTTGTATTGTAAGATTTGCTTTATTGTGAGATATAACCAACTTTTCAAGCCCAACTATACCTTGAAATGAGAACATTTTGATACTCCTGATGACGTTTCCTGACATGATTAAATTTGTCAGGCTCCGGAGGCAATGAAAATTTCCAGCAACTAGTGTATAGATACGGTTATAGTTTATCGTTAACGTCTTTAGGTTTGGAAAGGAGGGCTTTTGAGGATGATCCACGCACATTATGGGTATTTCAGTTAAGTTATTGTGATCAAGAATTAAAGTCTGCAAGCTTTCTAACTTAGGAATCATATGATATCTCTTCCATTCAATTGCATTGTGCGAAAGGTTTAAAAGTGCCAACATTTTGAAGGAGACAAAGGGAGTAACATCAAATTTTGTCAGTTTATTTTGGGCGAGATGTAACTCAGTGAGACTCTTTGTCTGTAGACCATGAAGGAAGCTGCCTTCTAACCCGGCGTCACTGATATTTAATCTGTTCAAGTACAGATGTTCAAAAACACCAGGAAGTGAATGAAACGCCTCACCTAGTTCAGCTAACGCGATAGGGTTATCACTTACATTCAGGTAAAGAAGGTTAGTTAGGTTTGCGAAGGCACCTGCAGAAATATGTGCAATGTGATTGTGTGTAAGATCCAGCAAATATAGGGTATATTGGCTAACGTTTTGAAAGGTACTGTTTGTGATGGTCTTCAAATGGTTGTGGAGAAATGCAAAACCGTAAATGTCCCCAGCCCACTGTAGACGTGGGACGTATTGCAGCCTGTCCTCATTGTACTCACAACTACCTTTATGCAATGTACACCAACACCAATTATGAAAGCAGTAAATAGAAATACATTCCTGGAAATGACACACTGACATTAAGCACAACACACTTATAAAACACCGGGTCCAACGTATCTCCATGTTTGTGAAAATGTCCAAAGAAAGTGTTGCAATAAGGCTTTGTTTCCTGATGTTATTATTTCAACAATTTAGTCTAAGTCCAGGACAGCATCCAGTTGCAGTGTTTTTTGTAATATAATTCCTTTAACTGACAACTTTAAGTCAATTTCTTGAAGGGTTTCTATAGTGTTAAAACCTTATGCCACAGAATTGATGTATGGATGCTTCCAGACCAGACAATGCTTGGCTTTCCCCTGCAGCTTCAACCTTGTCAACAATAAAGTCCTTCTGGAAACACAACGACGTCGTCGACGACTGAAATCACTTTTTCTGTATTTCTCTATTTGCCATTTTCTATCACATGAATCACCACGTTGTAATTGAATTAAATTAGCTACTGCCTCAGCATTGTACACAGTGCTTTAAAAAAACACCATCATGGCACATAGTCATATTCGATTCGTCCGAGAGAGATATGCGTAATGATACTTCAATCAAAGACTCCTCAAAGACGATAACACCCTGATCAATTGACAGGCACTGATCGTTACAGGGTTTAATGTTGGTATTTAAGCCACACTGGAATCTAACGGCATGTGAGAGTTGAACTAGCTTGAAGACATGGAGCACCATGAACTACAACAGAAATTCGAGTCCTACCATCTAGTGATACTATCCGTTAAATCCAGGACCAGACAGTCAGGTCGGCATCAAGATACAATCTCAGGCTTGTCTTTGGATACGCTGTCCAAGCTCCTCCGAAAGGCAGCGTTGCTGTGTAGATTTGACTTGTTCTTATGCCCAATGTGAATATCCGCAAATACGTCATAATTTTCTTCCTGATGCTTTCGTGACAGTCAAACACAATGTGTTGGTCGCCAGAGTACAATACAATCAAACCCGGATAATGTATGGTTCACGTTATATAGAGAGCCGTAGTGACAATTAAAGTTTCATATTGCATGGGGCTGACCCGGCTAGTCTTCTTACAAACAGGAAGAATGATATTACTTCTGGGGATCTTTGAACACAAACGTCGATATTGTGGGCACAAACGGACATACTCAAATAGCTGTTTAGAGCAGTTTATCGGACAATGGTATCCTTGACTACCACACCGCCAAGGAAGGAGACAACGAACAGAGAATATCGTTATAAAATATATACTATCACAAAAAATGGGGAATCATGAAATATAAATATAACATTGCTGTACGTTTATGTTTATAAAACGTAGCGTCTTTAGTGTGGTGATCTACCCACAGTTGCTGGTGATCTATATAGCCCGTTTTTATACTGTATTGTCTTGCATTATAGTATAAGTTTTAGTTAAATGCTAGTTTTATATCTCTATCTTTGATACAATAGTAGTTTTACTGTTCATGGTAAACAGTTTTATAGGTTCTGATATTATTGATCTTTACTGATAATTAATTGTTCTCGTCATGATATGGCTGAAATAGTGCTCACTTACTATAAAACGTAACACCCAAACACACCCAATGGTTTATACGTGCGCACAGTGCAGCGCAACCACGTGCCTGGGATGTCACTCCAACGCTGAGTGAGCGAGTGAGTTTATTTTACACAGCTTTGAAAAATATCGATGTTAACGAAACTATATGTTTTTAGATATCGAGAATAGATGAACAGGCCAATCAAGAAAAATTATCTTGTGGGTCTGTGCGATGATTTACCACAAGAAAAGCTGTAAACAAACATAACGTAACATAAATTACTCTGACTCTACCGACATAATATAAACGTGGGTTTGGGGTTTCGGTTGGTGAACCACCGACATGCTAACATGGGCGAATTAACCCATATGTATGTTGGTCCTTTCATGACACTAAATATAACAAAACTTCCGTTGGATAAAATTTTGCAGCAAGCTTCAAAGCAAAGAATGCGCGCTACCGACATATCAAAAATGTCGACATAGAACCAGATGTTTGCTTCTGACGCTACAATATAACTTACTGCAGTCTTAAAGAAGGTTAATACTTATTGTAAATTCAGTGTTATTTAGAATACCTGCACAGATACACCTAGATTTAATATCAAATTTGAAAGCACCGACAGCCAAAATGTCGGCAACAGAAATTGTCCCAGTTAACTGAGAATTAGTGAGATCTGCTCGATCAACTGTCTTTGCACGGTGGATTAAATAAAATAGTCAAATAAGTCAAACAACAAATGAATTTTACTACACAGCTCCAATACTTCTTTTCTCGGAGGGTTTTCCTACACCGATGCTTAAACTTGTAATAGATCAAGTCCTGAAACTTGAAACAACTGAAACTTCATCTCAGTTAAGAGGCTCACAGATCGAGTATTGGGGTCGCGCGCTAATCTGAAGTACGGTAATCCGATGTTTTCATAGCAATTCGCTTTCGTGGCACATCTAGCACAACTTTGCTTTTCGCTCTACTGGAAATATGGAATATTGAAATTTCGCTTTCCCGGGCCGAACCCATCGATGACCATTCTCGGCGGAGAAAGATCGTCCGGATCAGCTGATCGCTGAGTGACTCAGTGAACTTGCTCTGAGCTAGTGGGAATGTGAGTGAACTGTACTTCACTGTGTTGTGAAGAGTCCACGTGCTACGTGCGAGCTAACCTCTGTTCAGAACACTTGAGCTATGTGTTGTTTCATAACATTTTATGTACACGTGACTTTATTTCACTCATTTGAAAAAGGTCATTACCTGTAGTTACGCTAACTGATACAGAAGATCGTTTATTTGTTTCTCAATTACTCTCTTCTCTTCACGCCATGTTTGTTGTTCTGATGTATTCGTGCGCCAGAACTGAGTTTTGACGTGTACGTTGAGAACAACAGGGTCGTTTGATGGATTATATTATGACTGTTGATCACATTCATACAATGACAATAATAGGTTAGAATCTGATAAATAACATATGTTGTCTGGGTTTTTATGTCTTTTCGAATACCGAACTATGTCTTATCTGTGTGCCTGCACAAAGATGTTAACCGTCTTTAGTGGACAGTTGGGAGAATTTGGATTTTGTTAATCGCGTTTTCTCGGATTTATATTGTTTAGTTATAATTTTTTAAAATTGGATTATATAATAAGTGTCAAACATGACGTATCATCTCGTCAAACTATGAGCGAAAATAAAACTTATTTCACGTCACTCAGTGTTTCATGTGCCAAGTGAAATGTGTCTGAAAAGATCGATGATATATATTAATGATATATAGATGATAGATAGAAATATGGGTGGTACATTAATAATATTTATTACCTACGAGGGCAAACATATAGGGGTTCTTATTTTTTCCATACGATGCCCTAGGTCGAAATATCACTTTGTCATGGTGACGTGACGTCATGAACAAGGCTATGACGTCGAGTTTCTTCTGTGACGTTTCGCTCTACATGCCGGCGACGGCGGGCAGCCAGCCTGTGTTTGGGAGTAGATTTGAGTTTATTTTAATAGTAAATCGCAGATACCTGCTAAATGATAGATAGATAGGATGATGGAGACTTGGAGGATAATAGATATATATGGATGATAGGAGATTGATGATAATATAACAGACATATGGTGGGCGAAACCTGTAGATCTTAAATAGATGATAGATAATTTATAGACAGTAGATACTAGGCAGGTGTAAGATTAAGGATAAATAGGTAAATAATGGATTACAGGAACATTGATAAATAGGTTATGGCTGCAAGTTCTTCGTTCTTTAAAAGAAAACGATGTAATATTTACAATCTGTCATGGCGGCCTAAAATGACTAAGACGATCTCGTGGGTGCCATCATGAGCATAGATCTACGCTACTTGGATACAATAACATGTAACAAAGTCAGATCCACCAGATCCCGTTACACGCCTGGTCCTATGGATGCATAAATGGATGATTAGTAAATTGGGTGGCTGGCTGGATGATTGGCAAATTGGGTGGCTGGCTGGATGATTGGCAAATTGGGTGGCTGGATGGATGATTGCTAAATTAGGTGGATAGTTGGTAAAAGGGATGGACTCTTGCTGAATTGGTTGCATTGATGGATGACTGCTAAATTGTGTGGGTTGATGGATGATTGCTACATTGGGTTGATGGATGATTGCTAAATTGGGTGGATGGTTGGTAAATGGGATGAACGCTTGCTGAAGTGGTTGGATTGATGGATGACTGCTAATTTGTGTGGGTTGATGGATGATGCTAAATTGGGTGGATGGATGGATTGTAAATAGAGTGGATGGGGTGGTCAGACTCGCTAACTTGGCTGACACATGTCATCGTATCCCAACTGCGTAGATTGATGCTCATAATGTTGATCACCGGATTGTCTGGTCCAGACTCGATTATTTACAGACAGCCGCCATATAGCTGTAATTTTGCTGAGATGCGCCGTTAAAGAACAAAGGGGTTATTTCGGAATTGTTATATCGGATATTTGGAAGAAGGAACAACTGGGTTCATTGCTTAACGGTATATTACTAACCTACATGATCACTGACGCATATGGATAGAGGAAATTGATATATTCGAACATGAGTACAGTTATGAATACACAAATGCCATCTACAAAGTGATCAAATGTAACATAGGTTACCCTCAGGGTGTGGGTTCGAAGGGACTTAATCCAGCAAACATTCTAGAATCTGTACTTTACTAAGAAAGTGTAATAAACATATTTCTAAATGGAATTTGTGTAATCATAGCTTTCGGTCGTGGGAGCCGTGCCAATTTACATTTATCGGAGGAGTACACAAAATTCGCAGTCCAGACTACCAGTTGTCCGACTTCCGTTTTTTGTGGAAGCCGTTGTGACTGAGCGGGTTAAAACGACTATACTTTTTACATCGTCTTTGTTATTTTAAGATTGCCTCAACCATATCATCATTATTGTACCAGTTTCTTATTCAAAGTATTTAAGTGTCAATGTACATTGCTGGTATGGGGGTATGGCTGTTCAAAATCGATGTGAACGTTCCAAAATTTGTAACACAGCAAGTACAACTACTGGAGTTAAAATGCAAGATATCGGCACTATTTACAAGCAGCAAGTTGAAAATAAAGCACGTAAACATTTACATGATGGCACTCGTGTCCTATTTCCTGCATTGCAACTTCTTCCTTCTGGCCGACGACTGCGCACGCCGATATTCAGACCAAACAGGGCTCGAAATTCTTTCATCCTAGCAAGCGTCAGTGTTTTAAAGGAATTATTTCAATGTTTGTAAATCCTTTTAAATAACTTTATCAATTGTTGCAAACTGTAATCTTAATAAACATTTAGTGCTAATTATAATGTCGCCACTATAGCAGTAAATCTTAAATATATTATTATTTATTTATCAATGCATATTTACCTGATATATTGGGCGTTGTTGCCAGCTATTTTATACTACCCATCAAAAGATTACACTCACCTGAAGTACTCACTATGTGTATATGGTAGTTACATCGAAGATGAATTTCACTACTAATATAACGTGGTTGAACCAACTGCAAACCTTATGCAGATGAATTGCACGAGGATCATAAATCAAATTGCTGAAAAGAATGTGCAAACATCGGACATGTGAACAGCTGCGATTTGATGAAAAGTTGCCTTAAGAATTCGACAATTTTCACTGTCTTTCACCGTGACAATAATGTTTTCAACGTTACGACTTTGTTTTACAATACATCAGTTCATGTGTAAACAGTACCTGTAAACAGTGTGGAATATTTTGCAAAATCTGATTTAGAACAGTTGACTGAAGTAAGTGGCTTCATTTACACTAGTGAGTCTAAACTTTTGATGGGTAGTATAGTAATATTTGACATAATATATGTATGGGTGTTTGGGTGGTCGCATGTTTTTGTGTATTGTTTTCAATGTAAACAAGCAACCGTGTACGGTAAATTTCCTTCGGGATAATAAATTATCTTATCTTATATTTGATCAGAATTTGCAGGATTCATGTACAGGTGAATCAGGTAATTCACTGGAGACATAAAGATAAAACATATTGAAGAACGCCAGATCACATCGTGTTTGGAGCGGGATAACAGATAACACCGTACTTCTCACCCAGAAACATGGGTAACATGTATTTATCGTTATGCGAGAAATGATGACCGAGGCAATGGGTTTGAAGAGAACAGCTACGATCATTGAGGAACCTGATCAATTCCGTGTTACGCAGCTGTAGTTGACGTGGATATGTTTCCGTGTTACCATGGACGATGGGCGTAAGCATAACCGCTACAAACAATGAGGAACGTTAACTACCTTTTGTGGACTGACTTAAACACGATTGTGACGATTACCTCTGTAGCTGGCTTACAGTTTACGAAGGTGGAACCGAGAGAGATCACTGTCGAAAACATCAAAATGTAATCCCCACAGTAAAAAAGCCTCAGTAAAATAAATAAGTAAAACTTCTACATGTAAGTATACCACCACCTTTAGAATTGAACGAAACATTACCCCTTAAAATGTCTTCGATAGGAACTTGTTGTGTTGAACCAGGTATTGATCTGGTCCCTTACTTCTAGCATTGTTTGCATGGCAGCAGCAATAATGTGGTGTCTTCCATAAAAGTTATATGAGTGGCGGTTACTACACAATTTTGCATTCGTGACCAACTCGTGTTATTCCGGGACAGGCCGAATAGCGACTCGTGCCACACTTGAATGATTTCATTTAGGCGTATGAACATCAGAACTACTTCAAACAAGAACGATAACTCTATCCCTGTTTGATTCAAATGGTACCGTATATCACCGATGCTCTTGTTTATCTTATTGCTTTTTCTATCATATACTTATGTCGCTTAATGAAGTAAACCTCTCTGATACAACTAAAAGAAGGAGCAAAAATATTTGTTAAACACATATTCTAATGTGGTCCCCCTTTCGATGCTTGTTATGTGCGAAAATACGACAAACCAATCAGAACGCTCTGTGATTGCGGTGTTTTGATAAAAATAATCCCGAGTAATAAAATCTTTTATGGAATTATGGCATTGTTTAAAAAATCATGAATAATATACATCGTCATATTGACAGTACAAATAACATAGCTAACAGAAATGTGTTGTCTCGCGTGAAGTTTTTAGTATGGATAATGCCAGGGACGGAAAGCGATTCAAATACACTCATGTGAGTTTGTTTACATAACGGCTCTCATGGGTCTTGGTAGCTTGTTTCGGAGATTGTACGTGCGCTTTCCACTTTTTTAAAAACATATATAGGTATGAATCTCTCCGAGTTTCGAAACAAGGATATTATTACTATATGTAACTAATCAACTTTATCTTTAAAATTGAGTACCTTTTTCATATCTCTGGGCATATTTTCATCTGACTTTTTGGGAGTCATTCTTCTTATTTTTTTCAACGTATTCATTTTTAAATTCTAAGAGGTTTGGCAGCAAGGTTACACGAATGTTCAGTTTGAGAAATATTTTACAGTCATCTTTGAGTACCTGCTTTGGTATTTAATGTAGCTGAAGAAAAGATCATTTTCTTTGCATATTCAATAAAACAAATCCCATTTGTGATTCTTAAACCTTATTTAGAATTATACATTTAGAAATATAATGTGAACAGCTGGTAATAATTACTTAGATTGTGTGTTGTATTCGTTTCTTAGGTTTAATTCTTTTAATGAATAATTAAAAACGAAAACAAAGATATCAGTTCAATATACGAGTACTTCGGTGATATCAAGTCCAATTGGAACCGAACAGGAATAGAGACATCGTTCTTGTTTATAGTAGTTCTGATGTTCATGCGCCAACGTGCGATCCCTCCAGAGGGGCACAATTCGCTCTTCGGCTTGTCCGGGAATAACACGAGTTGGTCACGGATGTGTTATTCTGGGACAAGCCGAATAGTGATCTTCTGTCGGGTTACTCACTTGCTGGCGATCTACAGCAAATTTTTATGTTGTTTTTGAAAGACATTTAGAAGTTGGACGAACATGAATACATGACACATTTATGGATAACAACTTCTTTTCATTCTTTACACGAATTAGCTCTGAAACGTCGTGTAAAGGATACGAGGAAGTTGTTATCCATAAAAGTGTCATGTATTCATTTTTATGTTGTAATGTCATAAATAATATATCATTTTAACTTACATACTAGTTTTAAATTTCTAACTGTGATATACTAGTTGTTTGACAGTCATTTGGCGACAGATTTTATGAAAAAATTTTATAAAGTATTTACCGTTTTAGTCACTATTTGGCCGAAATAGTGCCAAAGTGCCTCACTCACTCTGTCGGGCTATGGAAAGGGGCAAGTAGTGATGAATGGTATTGTTGTACTCTACACGAGCGACAGTCAAGCCCTTTCCTATATCATATTACAGCACACAACGACATGCAAGTTACAACACTCACTCACTCACTCACTCACTCACTCACTCCTCCTCACTCCACTCACTCACTCCTCCTCACTCACTCACTCACTCCTCCTCACTCACTCACTCACTCACTCCTCCTCACTCACTCACTCACTCACTCCTCCTCTCTCCTCACTCACTCACTCCTCACTCACTCACTCACTCCTCCCTCACTCACTCCTCACTCACTCACTCACTCACTCACTCACTCACTCACTCACTCCACTCACTCACTCACTCACTCCACTCCTCACTCCACTCACTCGACCAGGAAGTACACCAAACCACAACACTGACTATAGCCGCACCTGTGTCAGAGTAGAAGGCGTATCCCTGACAGATAGGCTTCTAACATATCTTATCGTTAACGACAGAAATGGGAAGAGATTAAACACAATGATAACAATGGACAAACTGTTTTCATCTAATTAATAAAATCCTGAATCAACCAAGAATGAGATATACTACAGGAATAAAGTAACTGTGCATTATTTCATGTTATGCCACTTTTAATGCAAAACAGAACATCAAGTCAAAACAACGGTCTCGTTTCCTGCTGACTGGGTTCTGTCCCTTTAACAACTTAGTACAATAACCAGTCCAGAATTTTGAGACCAACTCATTCAACTGGATATGTAGATATTAATGAGTTATTTTTGATACATCTATATGTAACCACTTGCATATTGCAACACTACGCTCCTTAATAATCCTTTCAAACAAGTCGTTCAGCGTGCCCTGTCGAACAGTGTGCTCTGACAAACGGAGATCTGGAAATCGTGGAAATCTCAAAACGAGGCTCGGCCGCTAGAAACGTTTGGCGGTCTTGTACGGCATTCATATTATATCAATCACATTGTACGTTACAAAAATACACTTAACAAGCGCAAAGAACACATAACAGGTATAATCAGTCAGACAGATGAATTGTGAATCATTGTACGACCACTTCAAACAGGGGCTGTCTGTGACGTCTTCGTTAACGACTTGCTTCCTAAACCTCGTCATAAAATAGAGAAATACGATTTTTTAAAAGCTTAAAATTAAAACTTCATTTGTAAATACCATTTTATGAAACAAGGAAACGGAACGTTGTGTAACCATAGTTGTTTGAAGTGTCTGTTTTCACTTTCATACGAAAAATTTCGGATCGGCTGAAATGTAGGTCAATGTCTGAATTGGTTACTCTTGTTTCGGTTTGATTTGTGGCGTTTTCTTTAATCACTGTTTGACGGTTGACAGGATAATTAGGAGATAAACATACTGTGTTGGAAAATCAGAGGTATAATAGCTCTAAATTTGATTTACAACCGAATCAAACGAAAACATTTTATCCAATGATATCATTGTGCTTAATCTCTTCCCATTTCGTCGTTAAGGATAAGATATGTTTGAAGCTTCTCTTACGTGGTTATATACCTCTTAATGACTTGAACTAACCAATCACAATCCAGTATTTACTTAAGTCATGGTAGAATATTGAAATCTGTATGACTCGACACTAGGCATCGTGATAAAAGTCAGTTCACAAATTCAGTCTCGTGTGTGTCCATCATTGGCGTTGACGACGACGACAAATAGACGACACTAGGCGATTGAAGAACGCTTGGGAAACGTCTGAATACAACGCTAGTCCCAATTCAGAAAACGTCAATGGCTGATTCTAGGCCTGAGGCATGTTATTAAACCATCAGCGAAATTTTTATATATTTCTTAAGATAAAGTAAACGACTTGCTGTCCACGTAGCTGACCGTCACAAAACAGTGACTCTGAATTATGCAACTCAGTCAAGCTGCCTCTGCTAGGGCTGTGTCCCAGGCCGTAACAGGCTGCACATGGTCGGGCGCTTCGTCATTGCAAGTAGATAAGGCCAGATACGTAGTGATGTATATGATTTTTAGTGGTCACAGGACACAGGAATCATGGACACGTTTCGATTACAGCTACAATATTAGGTAACTTTAATATTCCACAGAAGGCCTGAGTCCCTCTATATACCGAGACCAGTAGCAGATACTTCACTCTGCTACGAATAAATATAGTTAAAATGTTTTAAGTTTACTTACTGATTTTATGTTTCTATCTGTGGTAACTGTTTTACTGTTCTTCGTCGACAGGTTGTTGCAATTTATTTGTAACTTTTTAAGTCACGATATGGCTGAAATATTGCCGATGTGACTATAAATCTTAACTCACTCACTCACTTAAAGTCTTGAAGTGCATCGTGTCATGTGCTCCACTTATGTGTACTTTTTCATAGCCTTAACCATATGGTGTAACATCCAGCTAGGGTCCATGCAGCAAGCACATTTACTGTAAGTCCCCGTCATCACTAATATGAGGATCTACCATCAGTTGTTGGCAAAATATAGCCTGTTTTTATATTGTACTGTCTTCTGTAATTAAGCTGTTTTAGAGTTACATGCTAGTTTATTTTCATATCTGTAATATTCTAGTTGGCTTTACTGTACTTCGGTGAAATTTCTTTTTACTTTATTTCTATTCTTGCAAAAATTATTATTTGTTTATAGTCACGATATGGCCGAAACATTGCCGATGTGATCTTAACTCACTCCTCTGTTTTTAAAGTGATAGTCGAGTAGTCAGCTCTACTAAGTTAATCTCACCCACCCACCCCACCCAGCCCATACACACACGCACATACAAAACAAATAATAAAACCAACAAACACACACATACATACACACGCACACACGCACGCACGCACGCACGCACGCACACACAATATTGTGTCCTCCTTGTGACGAAGTTCAGGTCAACCTACATCAGAGCAGGCAAGCTTAGTCACTTTGTTGTTTAACGTCTCACTGAGCAGTATTCCAGCTACATGGCAGCGGTTTGTAACGTAACGAGTTTGAACCAGACAATCCAGTGATCGTTAGTCGCCTCTAAGAACAAGTATGGGCTGCTGAAGACACGTGTATCCCGGATCTCCACGGGTGCTTATCGTAATAAAGGAGTTGTCCATCAATATATTGTTATCCTTCTTTTCAATTCCAATTTGATAGTTTTCTTGTTTGTTTATTTGCGTTTAACGCAGCACTCAGCAATATTCCAGCTATTTGATGGCGGTCTGGATATGATCGAAATTGGTCTTGACGTGGGAAAATATGGCACAGCTTCATGGTTTGACAGAAAATGAATGTTATCCTTCTACACTCTGCGACATGACTCGAAATGTCCTTGTTTTTTATAATTAATTAAGGACTGACATAGGAAATCTAAAGATGAAATGGGGTGTTATAAAATGTCTGTTAGTTTATGATAATGCAAAATGATTGCTAAAATAGACTATCAGAGGAGGGTTCAAATGGGCGTACTGGGTGAGTGAGTATGATTTTACGCCGCTTTTGGCAATATTCCAGCAATATAACGACACTGTCAACACTGTAGCAGGATTCGTCACATTTTCAGGAACACCTGGTATCATACTATTTGGTAGTGATTCATGCTGCAATCGGATTGGTTCTACAGCTGTGACTTCTGTGACTCTTGTCAACACTGTAGCAGGATTCGTCACATTTTCAGGAACACCTGGTATCATACTATTTGGTAGTGATTCATGCTGCAATCGGATTGGTTCTACAGCTGTGACTTCTATGATTCCTGTTAACACTGCTGCAGGGTGCGTCACATTTGTAGGAGCACCTGGTATCATACTATTTGATAGTGATTCATAAATATATGCTTATAGTCGGATCGTACAGCATACCCTGCGTTAAGTATTACCAAGCTGCAGTGAGCTAACAAACTACCAAACTAACTGTCAGTTATCACTTCTGTCTTCACTTCTGTGGGCTACATCCAGAATGACAAGAGTCTCTTACCATCAGTGCTGTTCTACTGGATGATTCCCATGTTTACGTGTGGCGGTGCAAACAGGATCGTGGGATGTTTGTGAACGGCTTTGTTGTGAAAATCGGTGACATTATATCTAGTTATATATATAACTCTGACCACTTGGCTGTAGTCACTTTTAGCTTGATAACCATGTAAAAATCTACATCCTATGCTTGCTCTAGACAAGATTGACTGAGTATGGGTTTACGTCGCTTTTAGCAATATTCCAGCAATATCACGGCGAGGGACACCAGAAATGGGTTTTACACATTGTACATTGACAAGCGAACCACTGGACTTCCCCGCCGCCCACTGCCAAAAATACTCATAATCTTTATTAATTTTGTGCTGATTCTTCTGTTGCAACTGAGACGGGAAGGTCACCCATACAGCCGTTTCTAACCATAGATCTTTCATTTGCAGAAAACAGCATGATCGCTGACGTCGCGAAACACTTGGGGTTTTATCAACCAGGGCAAAGGGTGGAAGGGTCAGCTCTAAGTTATCACGTTCCTATCTAGTCAAACGTGATTCTATTATAAATACCGATATAGCAGCGAACTGATAAATAAACATGTTACATTCAAGTGACAAACTGAGCTAACATATACCCAGTTCACAACTAAATCATAGTCCCATTTGTTTGAAAATGTGTTGTTAGATAACCAGCTGTTTGATTAAAGACGTTACAAATTTGGGATTATGTTCATAGGTGCACGTGTCATCTCCGCATAATACAAACATATTAAACGTGCAAATTATGCGCAAATCCTTATAATTACAATAACTGTATAAAATATTCACCAGGCTCCAGCATGTGTTTTAACAGTCTGCTTAGATTAGTGGATAACTGTCAACGAAATTAAGCTGGGTTAGAGCAAATCTTCAGCAACTCATGCTTGTTGTAAGAGACGATTAACGGGATCGGTTGACACATGTCATCATATCCCAATTGCGTAGATCGATGCTCGTTGATCACTTGATTGCCCTTGCCGGATGTCCTTGGTAAATAGAGAATCAGATAAAGTAAACCTAAGATGTTGCCAATTGCCACTGATAACGAAATCATAGTATGAGTTGAGGAATATAAGTATATTGGTACAGTGATGGATTCTAAGCTCACCTGGATTGTCTGGTTCAGACTCGAACAGACAGCAGTAATAATGCTGAGTGCGGCGTTAAACAACAATCAAACAATGAATCATATCCATGATGTAATCGTGTTATATCTATATATACCCATGCACATGCATATTTTCACCCCTAGATACACCTGCCTTGGTATTGACGTACAGATAACGTAGTTGTGTTGTTTGCCTACCTTGGCTATATTCAAACCTTACATGACTGCGATAGGCCTTGGTGCAATTCCTTTCTTTTGCGCAGTTGTCCCTGACAGATTGGACTTGGTTATATGCTGTGGTCCGTTCAGAACACCATGAAAAGCATGTCTTTGGAAGAACATTTTCTCGCCATGTACATAGTGATGGCAAATCAAACATTTACTGGAGTGTACAAGGGCGTATTGAAAACGTTTGAACAGGATTAAATCGACGTGTTGTTGAGGTGGATCAATGTAATATAACGGAATGCTTGAAACAGATTAAGCGGGAAGCCATCTGGCGGAAGGTGTGGAGCGGGGTAACAGATCCAGACATTGATGACACTAGGGATTTGTATACTGACCCATGGGAAACATGCATCTGGTGTCTTGTCGAAGATGAACACCTCATCCCCTCATAGTGGACAGCGCTTGTTTCATGTCAATTCTTAGGGTGAGTGAGTGAGTGAGTTAAGATTTATGGCCACATTGGCAATATTTCAGCCACATCGTGACTTTAACAAATTACAAATTCATAATATATGCAGTTAAATGTTTTTTAAAAGGACAGTACAATAACTAGATAAATTCTTATAACAGATCCGGATATTGACGACCCATGGGTTCAGTATTATGATACATGGAAAACATGCATCTGGTGTCTTGTGGAAGATGAATACCTGATGCCCTCCCCACGTAAAGGATGTCAGGTAACTGTAGTTAATGTTGATGTATTCCCCTGTCCTGGATATTCCAAGTGGGAGATGGGGGTGAACATCACGGCCATAATCGAATGACGTTCACGGTAGGATTCTACACCTGGCGTATTCTGTGACTCTTGTCAACACAGCAGCAGGATGGTAGGATTCTACACCTGTGATTTCTGTGACTCTTGTCAACACAGCAGCAGGATGGTAGGATTTTACACCTGGCGTATTATGTGACTCTTGTCAACACAGCAGCAGGATGGTAGGATTCTACACCTGGCGTATTATGTGACTCTTGTCAACACAGCAGCAGGATGGTAGGATTCAACACCTGGCGTATTCTGTGACTCTTGTCAACACAGCAGCAGGATGGTAGGATTCTACACCTGTGATTTCTGTGACTCTTGTCAACACAGCAGCAGGATGGTAGGATTCTACACCTGTGATTTCTGTGACTCTCGTCAACACAGAGGCAGGATTCGTCCGATTTCCAGGACTGACTGACTGACTGAGTTTGGTTTTACGCCGCTTTTAGCAATATTCGGACACCAGAATTGGGCTTCACACATTGTACCCATGTGGGGATTCGAACCCGGGTCTTCGG